ATTTAAAACAGCTGAAGGTCTATCTGTGTTCAAATGTTACATAATATGTGATAATACGTTGCGTATACGTAATGTGATACAGCTTCAGTCGCTTAGTTATACTTGTTTATTTCATAGGTGTTCGAACAAATCCGATCGTTCTGTGACATTAAAAAGATGATGACAGGTTCCGAATTAAGCCCGCACGAAAGCCCCGCTATATAACTATATAACGCTAGATAACTCCTCTGCTGATGTTAAGGCAGAGAATACGCTTCATTGTGAACGGACTATGGCTGATGAAAGAAAGGGCCAGTAGAAAATTGTTCCATACAAAATTCGGTACAGCTAGTAGTTAATCGGCCATCGGCAAACTCAGTCTTTGTGAACCTCTTCACTCGAAAAAGATGTCCATTGAATGTCGCCTTTTCAACTAATAAATCAAAATGCATTCACGCTGTGGATAATTGTATTTGGTGTGTGTACTAATATTACCTTGACCAGACTGAAATCTAGCATTTTTAACAGGGGCAGTGTGGTCCATAACCAGCTTTGTTGATGATTCATTGATTGCGAGGATAATGTGGTGGTTTTCTTTAATGAGGTAAGGCTAACTATTAAATTATCAATGCAATTACCAAAGGGAGTTACATTTATATTTGGCTAATCAAACTGATTCTTCGTTAGTCTGCGACTACGTTTGCGGTGGCAGTCACTTGGTAAACGAACGCTGTTCACTAGTGAGCTCTATTTATATTGTTGTATTTAGGTTTTTGAACTATTGCCGGACAGCAGACTAGTTCTTCAGGGTGTGTGCATTCGTAGTTCACCATTCCGAACTGCAGGGGAACTCTGTCAAACGCACACTCACGCACATGTGTTAATGACTCGACAGAAGGAGCAGCGTGGCATAAATCGGGGCGATAATTTGCATTGTTGTCGTTGTTGTAACTGGGATGTGCCTGCCTGTCAATGTGTGTTCGTTTGTATATCAGTGTATATATATATAGTACAGGGTATGTGAACGGCTGCCGTTTGCTGCGTGTGTTTATGTAACGATTTGTGCCAGTTTTTAATTTTTGTGAACCTCGCCACCACCCCCTCCTTACGCCTGGCATATCATTCAATTTATAAAACTTTTTCCCAACATTTTACGCGCAATTATGAGGCAAGTAAACAAAAACGTAATTACGGACGCTTTGTCACACGTTGACCCTAATGACATGGCGCTTAAGTAGTCAAATTTTTATAAGGCCATTAACATGAGTTCTAAGTATGTGACATTAATAACGTTGACGGATTCTTTAATTCAGAGGAAATATATCTTGAAATAAGGAAATTGTTATTAGCTTTTATTTTGTGAATCAAATCAGAAGTACACTCTCAAAAATTATGTCACAATGGCTCACAATTTAAATATTTTGCACACATTTGTAATTAAATTGTTTATAACAACGTTTAATTGAATCTTTTATTTTTAAACTAGAACATACAACACAGCCGATCTGAAATGCTTGTTTCTAATATTTTTATATTTAACTAGCATCATAATTATAAAATCGTTTACAGGAATGCGTCTTGAAAGTGTAATTCTATTTTGAACAACATTAAAGATGTGCAATCAAAACTTGCGATTATTCATGAATATAGCAAGATCTCTAGTCTATTTGTAGAAATCTTCTGAACATAGAGTTGGAATTTAAAAGTTACCGAACAAGCTTAAACAACTTAGTTTTTCGTACTTCTTATGATATTTATAATATCTGTAAAATATTAAATATACTTTTACAATTGAAAAATGATGGCTTTCTGCGGGATTTTACGAGAATACGGAACAATTTGTTGATAAGAATGAGAATGAGTTCATATTTTCGATAGCTGTATTTTGGCTAATATGGTGAGGCTTACGTGCCGCGCGACGACAACCTTCAAATCCTACTGACGACAACAATTTTGCCAAATTTTATATTCCTTTTGCCGATTTTACAACTTTTCTGGCGCCTGGCTTATGCCGAAACCCAAACCAACTGTGGCGCGCTTGGCGGCGCCAGGCAAGCAAATCCGAGCCCAGTCCTCGCCCATTGACGCACTTTTGCTTGTGCCTCATGCCTCATGCCTTGTGCCCGGCACCCTGTCCTTGAGCCCTGCGTGCCCCATTTTCCTTTCATTGGATTCGTCGCCAAAGTGGCGTTGCGTGCTGCCACGAAATGTTTGTTAAAAATTAATTGGGGTGGGAGCGAGCAGCAGTAAACTAAATAAAGTATATATGAATGTATGTGTATATATATTTATACTTATATATAGTGCGCGATGCGTATTAGCAAAAACCCAAAGACATTTCCATGCGCCACTGTGTGGTAGAGAGACATTTCGCGCAAAACAAAAATCATAAAAAGATTTATGGCGCTTTCAAGGCAACCACGCGGAGACAACGAGACGGCAGTGTCATCGAGAACGACAATGGAACAGAAACAACAGTAAGAACCAGATATAGCCGTAAAAGCAGCTCCATAAAGCTTCAAACTGCGTGCGAAAAGTGATTTGTATTGGCCAAGTAAGTAAGTCGGCGAAAGCAGCCCACAGCAATTGGCAGCGGGGGTTCAACTTGCTTTGAAAGTTGAAGGTAAGTTAAAACCTAAAACGACCTTAGACAGTTCATAAAGTTGGGCATTGATATACGACCTCAGTGATGATCGGTAGTGCAATGATATTTGTAAGGCAATAAGGCGTGCAAAACGTGTCCTTTCGAATACTTCAATAGAGGAATACATATAAAAGAAAATATATGAAAACTGGTGGGATGAGGCGAGCTAATTCCTACACACATTTAATCAATTGCTAGTGCAATATGTTTATGAGCATTTCAACAACCTTACAAACTCGTATTTCCGTGTCCTATACCCGAACTATGAAAGGGTACACTACAATTTCTAAGCTCCAAATGTATGTAAACATCATATATAGCCTTTCTATTTAAATTCACTAAATAAAATAGTATTGATTTTTAGGGAATAGAAGAGCCTACACTGCAAGAATGGGTTACATTTTCACGAAATATTGCGTATTACATACGATTTCAGAAGCCACATATTTCCTTTTCACCGCTCGCGATAAAAGTACTTATACCCGAATTATAGGTTGTCAAGTCCCAAAAATAGATAATGGATGCCCTTGAGAAATAATGATGCTTATTTTTAGTCGGATCTGCGCAAATATTTGATATAGAAGAAACTCCAAAAGTCAGCCCTTCATGTCCAGTTAAACAAAAGACTTTACGACAATGCACAATTCGAAAACGGAACTATCAGGCATTCTCATCTTCTTCCCATTGGGCTCGTTTTCGTTACGCCAAACAGTTTAAGATGACAACAAAAGAGGACTTGGTAGCCAGATTCAATTTTGTACCCTCTGCCAGAAGGGTCAAATGGGTATATTGGTCTTCAACAAACGTATGCAACAGGCATTCGATTTCAAATAGTGGATGCTTTTTAGTATATAAATATTCTCCATTAGGATTAAAGGAAAAGCCGATTTAGTTAGGCATTTAGGTTGATTTTAAAAATATAAGTCTTTCTACTTCTGATTTCATATTTTTTGTATTTTGAAATTTTTGTTTGCTTCTCCTATGCGCGCGGTTGCTTTTTCAGGCAGAGGGTATTCCTCTGCCAGGCTTGCTCGACTGCAAAATTCTTTCTCGTTTTCCTTCTGCACCTTTTTGTTCTGAATATAACGATTTTATTGTTTTAATGCATTTGCAATTTTGCGCTAAAGTTCTGAGGCACTGCAGCGTTTATGGGTGGGGGAGACAAGGCGCCCAGAAGGAGTGTTAGATGGGCGGGGCCAGCGAGTGCAAACTTTTGCAACTAGAGGCAGCCCGCTGCCTATTTTCATTGTGCAATTGGAAACTTTGTGTAACAATAAAATTTTGTTCCGTGCTAAAACGAAAAAATCAAAAGAATGGGACCAACTGAAGGCATCAGCGGCACAAAGGGCGTTTAACGATGGTGGAATGAGGGGATGTAGCCTAGTCAAGGGTATAGAGTAGTTGGCAAGTGTGGCGCATTTAACTTTCGGCAGCCACCGCGACTTCCGGCATTGTAAATTATAATGGTTTGGTCCTTTTTGCTCCAGAATTATTTTTTTTCCTAGAGCAGGAGCAGATGTCCAAAAACTACAGCAAGGCATTTAATTTATAAGCCTTGGCCGCCACGCGTTTAATTTATTAAGTTGTCTAGCGCTTTTAATTAGGGGGCAACTGGGCCGTTTCGTTTAGTTTGAACAATTCAACCAGCCAGCAATATACAAGTACAAGTTATTCTATCGGGCGACCAAGAATATAATATATTTCTCAGCAAATGGAAAGTTGCTGTTTTGAAACCACAATTTCAATGTTTATTTTAATGTCTATGTGTGCAGTACAGAGTTCAAGCAAAGGCATTCAAATTGTCTATATACTTATAGTTTTCAATAACATTGCGTTCGTATATATGTACATAGTATATTTTTGTTTTACGGCCTAAGTAGGCTACCAACGTGGTTCACTAAAGGCCTACTGCGACATGTTTGAGTACAATGGCACAAATTGAAGTTGTTAAGGCCATAATAATAAAAACTCAATTTGAAAAGATTTTAATGAACGTAAGATTTTGTTAGAAAGTAAAAACAGAATCTTCGTAAATACTTGCAAGAAAGTGAAAAAAAATATTAAAGGGTATTAAAGAGTTAGAGTAATCAATTGTCTACCGAAACTATGAAGCCGGTTGTCTCTATATTGTATATGGGAAAAGACTGTGTGACTTTCAGCAACTATTCGAAGCTGTGTCGAAAAATGTCTATACAATTATTACCATACAGACTGAAAGAACACCATCGTGTATTCCCTTAACCACTTCATACCTAAATATAAATATGTTTAATTATGTTCAATGTTTTCAAACATAAAGCCCATTGTACTTAGTAGAAATTACATTTTGCAATCGACTCCAGTAGGCCAGGTTGTTCGATTGTCAAGACCCCCAAAATAAGAATTGTTGTGTATTCATTCTCAATCCAGAGCTCGAGCTGAACGCATCGTAAACAGCAAAACGAAATAAATTTTACAAATATTTTTGGTGAGTAGAAATGGAAATAAAAATAAATTTCGGTGCCCACCCACTACTAACACTTCCTTCTCAGATTAAGTGAACTTAATACACTACAATCCAACATGTCTGACGCTCCAGCAGCAGCATCATCCACTACCAAGTCAGGAGCAGTGCAGTTCACACCAAATGCCTGGTTGACTGGAGTAGCAGTCGCTTTTTATTCGACTCGGGTCTTGTGGGCGAAGTTGCGCGAAATGGGCGTGATTCCGTCGCTGGGTAGAGGCAAGCAAGATGCCGGCATGGGCAAAAATGATGCACTGTCCCAAGATGCTGTTGAGGAGATGATTCAAGTGAGACTGTTGCCCGAGGCCGAAGGGCAGCACTTCCCTCTGGGCACTGTGGCCGTTGCGCCCCAGTGATGGAGCTCGGCGAATTTGCTGAGGATGTGGTGATGGGCTTCTGGCCGGAAGGGGGTCGATGCGCAAGACGATGTTTAAGAGCATTTTTCGTTTCACTTTTTGTTACAAAATTCTAGTCTGTTTTAATCACACGTTAAACACCAAATGTTTATGCTACGATGACAAGTGAATACAAGTTGAAAGAACAAAACTTAAATTATTGGATTTAAAAATTGGGGAGGTATTCATAGCAGGTACAGAAAAGAAAGATACAAGTATAGGAATAAGATTGGCTGAGACAATTTTAAATGTCAATTATGCAGACATCTCTCTATAGATTTATATCCAAACGTATCAAACAGGCAGAAGGAAGTATCTTCGGCACCATAAATATCGCCGAATTTATTTACCAAGTTTTCCATTCGCAGCCTGTTAATGCTTGTGTGGCCTTAAATAGATTCAAATAGATTCCGCAATTTGATAGTTTCTTTGGATTAAAACAACTGTTAAGGAAGTCGGGACTTTATATTTGCGAAATTGAAGCGAAATTTGGAAATTTTAATAGATTATTGTGTGATACTGTGTGATGAAAAATTAGATAGTATGAACAGGGTATACATTTATTTTCTTTTAGACGGGACTGATTTAGTCGCTGATTCGAAAAGGAGCAGACTTAGTTAGAACACTTCTTTCTTCTCTCAGCAAAGCTTTGTCTGGATTGGCTTTTATAAGGTAGTTGCTGGTATTTTGGAATTCGCTCAATACGCCCCAACCACTCATCAAGACCGTCCGTAGACTGGGCTTGTGGCACACATTTGCAAGTAATCGCATAATGGCAAACAAATTGCTCAAAAAGGTGTCACTTTGCATTTGACAAATGTTGCACAGGCAGGCTTACCATATACTTGTAGTATAGTATGAGCATGTTTCCCAATCGTCTCTTAATATATTTACCAACAGACAACAAGCAGAAAAAGAAGAAGAAACATAAATCGCGTTTATGTAGCGATGTGTAAACAAACGTGAGTGCACCAAGTGCAAATACGGCTTGGATGTGTCTTGGAAAAAAAAAGCAACTCGCCAACTTGTTAACTCGACAATGCTTGACCAGTTAACTGACCAGTACTTTGGATATTTGTGTGACCGGCGCGCGTAAATATTATGAATGTTTTTCTCAATCGATTTTCAGCGATTTGAAACACATTTCCGACTGGGTGATCGGAGCTGGTTTGCGATCTATCAATCCATCAATCAATGTGCGGATCGCTATTATGTCACGCAAATTGCAAACCGGTATATATGTTTGTGTGCTGATCATCAGCGTTCCCCGGCTTTGTTGATATTCCCAATTATGCATCTGACCAACAACGGGCTGGTGATGAAGTGAGAGCTCAGCCATCAACACGCAATAAAGTTGGCCAAGTTTATTACATGGACCAATGTGGGCTATCATCACAGGAATTCAAATATGTGCGCTATTATTTTTACTTAAAAGCTAAGGAATTTTAATCTGGTTAAATTATAGAAATAAAATGTTTAATAATTTAAGAATACATGCCTTTAAGCAACAGAGAGATACAAGAACGTTGCTATAGTTAAGTCAAGTAACAACAACGCTTATATCTTTATATCCTTAGTGTGCCGAGGATATAATAGATTGAAATTTCAATCTGCTTGAATAAGTTAGAAATAGCAAACAATTTCCAATTCCTCTTTAAGTCGGCGTATCTGATTTACCAATCTTTTTATGCATCGTTCTACATAAGTGTATTTTTTGCTGATTGTGCTTGGCACAGCTTTTTATATTGTTCGATGACTATTCGTGTTTTTAAAAAAAAAAGAATCAAAAAGAATCTATCGATCTATGGATAAGGGTTTGAAACAGAAGGCACCTTTAGCAAGATGAAAAAATTGGTAATTACAAATTATTTGAATCATATGCAGAAACGAATTGCTCTACGTAGAGAATATTTTGAGATATGAAACTTGTTCAGCAGACAACTTGGATTGTTTTGGAGACCATGAGCAAATGCAAATTTTAAGCAAAGAAATTAGTGGAAGATACTAGCACCGAGTAGTGAACATATTAAAATGCTAGGGCGTGATAGAAAAAGTATAGAGCGAGAGAGAGAGATCTGGATAATTTGACAGGAAGGTACTAACAACCATTTCAGCACCTGGAATATCGATGCTGCTTTCTTCGTTACCAAGAAAAAAGATGACGCTTGAAGTTAACGAAAATAATAGAAATATTTGTGTCCCCTTCCTAATTTGAATCAACAATTCTCAGTACTCAAGTCGCATTTAATTTATTTTATTTTATCCACAAAGAAACCTGTCGATGTAAAAGAAAATCAAAACAAAAATGAACCTATATTAAATAAAAATTAAAAAAGCCAATGATTGATATGATAAAGGAACAATATAACAAAATTAATCTACAATAAAATTGTTTAACATAAAGTTTGTTTTTGTTGTGCTTATTTTAATTATTATATCCAAGACTCAGTTAGCGGTATCTTGTAAAATAATGCTTATTTCCTATAAGGATGCGATTTGCTATTGTTCATATTTTGCAATTGTCGACGCTGTTGTATTAAAGATACCGACAATTTCACAATTGGCCGCAAAGCTCAAAAGGTAGCCGACGGCGGAAAAGTGATTTTGGTCTACTGGCCGACACGCATACCCTCACGTTTTCGCGTGGAAACCCATTTCTCAATAGCCGCTCAAATAGTTTTTGTTCGTTGCTTTTGAGCGAATTCGCGTTATGCACATATCGGTTTTCTTGGCGGCTTTTCCTCAACTTTTTCTTTTTATTTCATAACGCACTCTGGTTTCTGCTGCCATTCCGCTGCTCCACAATATGGCGCTTGTAATAAACGCGCTTTTGGCATAATTAGCGGGACACTCCACACTCATGAACGGGAGCAACGGTAGTGGGCACAATCGATAATTATGACGTTACGTTATGCGCTGTTATCGTCATCGGCTGCCACGTTAATATGCAGCTTGCAACCGCATCAAACAGGGGGCGTGTAGCAGTCGACGCAGCACAGTGGTCCAGAAACGAGAATCACTTACAAAATAAAGAATACTCTATCTAAAGCGAAAGTGAACAAAATTCTGCTCCGAAGTGCATTTTAAAAACTCAAACAGATACCACACTGTACTTGTATAAACTGTATAAGCCCGACTCCACAGTTCTTTTATTCCGGAGTTAGTTACAATTTCTTCTTGCAATGAAATAATAAACTTGAAATTATAATTGAAATTGTTTAGATATGATGTACAAGCGTTTTTATCGATGACAAAATGGTGCTATTCTTTACAATCTATAGAAATACAAGAAACGAGCATTATGCTCTTCTCAATTCTCCATTCTCCAATTTTCCATTCGCTTCTAAATCGTAGAATCATTGCATCTGTAGTGCTTAGTCTAACATTTTTCAGAAACAATAACCAATACACATTTTTTGTTGCATTATTCGGCTAGGATTACGTTTCTGATCCACTGTACGACTCGACGTCTGCGCTTTCATGTAATATTTGCTCGCAATAATTGCACAATGCCACAGCAAGTTTGTTGTTGCTGTTGATTTCGTTGCGGCTGTGGCTGCATGTTGCAATAACAGTTTGCTTTCGCTTTCAAACTCATAAGCCAGGTACGTAGTATTTCTTTGCCATTTTGTGGAATGCGTTCGACGTCGGTGACGGGCTGATTTTAATTGTGAGTCATTTGTGAGTGCACCCCACATATAGACATATAGACATATATACATGCGACATGGCGGATGCTATCGGGCCAAGTTTGGTCAGGTAGCTGGGCATGTTGTCTAGGCACTATCATTGTCATTAAAGAAACAAATTGTCAGGAAATAGTCGTTCCGATGATGGGTTTTTAAGTGACATACACTTGTATATACGATATATGCCATACACTATTAGGAAGGCGTGTTGTGCAGCAGCCTATTTGGTTTTATTAAATTTGTTAAAAGGACCATTTCTTGATGATGGCATTTTCCAATGGAATCTGAACTAAAAACACAACAAAACAAATTGATATATGGTTTTTGGTAGTCAGTTCGGCAAAAGTTATAAAATGGCATCTTTTTTGGAATATTTCAAGCCTCAAAACTGAACCACATTCAAAAAATAAGATTCATAAAAACCACAAATGAAATGAACGAAGAAAACTTCTCTAACACCTTAAAATCTATAAATAAATTCTTGATCATCATATGACATATTTAATTTAATTTTACCAAGAAATGGTGCAATTAACGCTCACTTACTTAACGAAGTTCTACTTGTACTTTTTATATAGAAAGCCTTCTACTTCTTAATTAGAAACGGATTTGTTATTCAATATTCTTATCTTTGCAGCATATATAGCTTTAAACAAGCTGCCTTCCTTAGTGGAAGCAACCATTTTGCGTTACTTTGGCGTGAAATGTTGTCGATGGTTATCTAACTTTTAACTTCCACATAAATCATGGTACGGTTGGTATATGGCTATAAATGTTATGGCTTGCAATAATGACTTGCATATCATTCGCAAGACGTGTGCGTTTTAATGTTTATGCAGTGCTTTTTGCTAGTTCATCAGTCGGAGTATGGCCGGTTTTATAGCCTCCACAGCTTCACAGGCCGCCCTGTGTTAAGACGTCGTTAAGTTGCGTTTTGTAATATCATTATTTCTGAATTTGTGGCCAACGCGTGTTCCTTATTTCAAACGCATAACAATTAAAGACTGCAAATGTTATATTTCGAAACAATTGCATTTTGTTGCTTTGCGTATCCTTCATATCAGCTTCAATATCTGTAAACGAGCTTGTTTGTGGTTATTGGGAAAATGACGAAAGCCAATTGTTTTTTTAATTTTTGCCACACTTAACATTTTCAGATAAAATACAACATAAAATTTGGCACTCAATTGAGGATCACTGAAGAAAGTGTAAACTTGAAAATAATAATACGAATCTTTGTCTGTCATTTGAATTACTTCTCCATAAATCAGTAGAGTCATTTCTGCTTTAAACTTTAAGCTTCTTAAAATGGGTTAGTTTAATTGAGGAGCGTGGCTTTAGTTGCCTTGAATACAATTTTTGAGCAATATTGAAGTACTTTGCATTTAACGAGCCACAAAAAGTCAATTTGTATCTTTCTAAAAAGTCTTCTTAATATTATAATGCAAGTACTCGTATGTTTAAAGTC